GCCTCAAGAGGCAGTGCTTTGAGGGAATCAGGTAGATGAGGTGTTTCTGTTCCTTTTCTGGAAAGGGGTATCTGTTGTTACCTGATTTGAATTAAGGCACTTACTTATTCATATAATCCTATAGCAATCCCACCTCAAAGTTGTTCTAATGAATGTTAACTATTTAGTACAATAACTGGAACACAGCAAGTTCTCGATATGGTAGCCATCCTCATCATCACTATCCTGTATTATTGTTTTACAGAAGAGGAAACAGACCTCAGACAGAGCCCTGGTGGTGTAACAGTTAAGCACAGCTGCTAACAGAAAAGTTAGCGGTTTGAACCCACCTAGCGGTTCCGTGGGTGAAAGACCTGGTGATCTGCTCCCGTAAAGATTTCAGCCTTGAAAACCCTGTGGACAGCTCTACTCTGTAATATGGGGCTGCTATGAGTCGGAAGCTAGTCGAGGCCACCTAACAACAATTGTGTGACCATGGGCAAATCGTGGTGCTGAGTTTCCTAATATGAAAAGTGGGAATAATACTTCAGCTGACTTGCTGGGAAGGTTGCTTGTCTTCAGGCTGTTTTGTAGTTCAGAAGAGAGCTCTGGCAGAAGCTAGCTGGTCTCTGTCTGGACCTGAGGCCTCATTTGTATCCGCCCACCCCCACCTTACTCACAGTGACCCTGTAGGACAGAGTAGAACTGCGCCATAGGGTTTCCAAGGAGTGGCTGATGAATTTGAACTGCCAACCTTTTGGTTAGCAGCCGTAGCTCTTAACCACTGCGCCACCAGTGCTCTAGGGTCGCTATGAGTTGGAATCGACTGGACAGCAGTGTTTTTTTCTTTCTTAGTCTCCACCTGCCCTCAGGCATGATTTGGTTCAGGAAAGATAGATGGGCTGAAGTCAGTATTGGAGGGGAGCTGCTTCCTGTTTCTCCTTTCCAGGCAGAATTTTGTGTTAACCATTTCTTTGCTTTTCTTTATAGTTTTATCAGCTGTGTATGCTTTCTGGTACAAGATTTTATTTGGATTTGGCCATTTTGGGGGGATTTCAGTCATGTTGGGAGCCCCAGTTGCACAGTGATTAAGTGCTTGTTCGACAGTAGTTCGAACCCACCAGCTGCTCCACGGGAGAAAGATGTGGCAATCTGCTTCATAAAGATTAGTGCCTTGGAAACCCTATGGGGCAGTTCTACTGTGTCTTACAGGGTCAGTGTAAGTTGGAATCGACTCGATGGCGGTGGGTTTAGTTTTTTGTTTTTTTCAGTCGTATTGATATTCGTAGTTTAAGTGCATTAATTTCCATTGTTGTATTCCATTACTTGAATATACCAAAATTTTTTGCCTCTACTATTGTTGGACATTTGGGTTGTTTCTAGCTGTGTGCTTTAAAAAAAATGCTGCTATGACAATTCTTGCCCATGTCCTCTGATGCGGAAGTATAATACTTTCTCCATGGTGGCATTCTGGATGAGAGGGTATGTAATTACAAGGGAGTTTATTCATTCACCCAACAAATATTTATTGTTGGTACTGATGAATGAAACCAACAAAAATCCCTGCCCTTATGGAGTTTATGTTCTGCTGGTGATAGCCAGACAATAAACAATAAAAGAAGTTAAGTGAAATGGTACATTAAAAGGATGCTACGTTCCAGGGAGAAGAGGGTTAGAACAGGACAAGAGGACCAGGTGTGCCAGAAGTGATGGGGGTGCAGGCTTCATCAGAGGTGGCATTTGAATGCACACTTGAAGGAGGTTAAGCGTCAGTTTGTTTGTTTGTTTCAAACTAATTAAATAACAAAAAGAAACAACTATGGCCGTTAAGTACACTGCGATGAATGATGAAATTCAAAATGTCCGGGAGAATTTTTTTTTCTTTACTCAGATTTTAATTGCTCCGGTTTCTTGAAGGTTGTATTCTGGGTGCTGCTCACTACCAGCTGTGTAGAGGAGCTCTACATGTACACAGACTTGGAGGAGTAACTGACTTTATGGGTAACAAGATATTGTTAGTGTTTATTTGGGTTTAAATTAGGTTAGATGAAATTCACCAACATACAACATGGGATTCTTTCTAAATTCATGGACTGATATCCTGTCAGAGTGGTGGTATGATCTGTTATCCCATGGTTGGCTAACCTGTTTTTGTAAAGTGCAGTCCTACAGTGCATGAGCTTGTTGACCTTGGTCGGGATCACCAGATTCTCTGATCTCAGTCTGCTTATCTGTGTGATGAGGATAAATCAGTTAACACCAGGACAATGCTAAATAAATGGTAGTTCTTTTTAGCCTTTTCCTGACTTTTTATTTTGAAATATTTATAGCATCATAGGAAGATTCAGAGAAGTCCTGTACACCCTTTTTTCCTGTGCACCCAGTTTCCCCCAGTGGTTACATCTTACATAAAACTATAGAACAGTGGTGTCTGCTGGGATAGAGCTGTTATTGTCTAAAAGTTTTCTGTTTGCTACTTGCAACATGGTCCTTGGGCTAGAGAGCAGGTTTTTGGTGATTTTGTTGTTGTCGTTTGCACCTGTTGGCGTTTCTGGGTTGCCGGCTTCATGAGCACTCAGTCTGGGATATATGGCATTGAAAGAAAGCCCAGGGACATCACCACCATGTGGGTCCTTGGGCCCTGAGGTCTCTGGCCAGCCTGCCTTCTTCTCTCTGCCTTTCAGTCTTCTTATGTTTGTTTTATATATACATGCACACACACTTAGCAGGAGGAATAAAGAAAAATAGGTTTACTCCATGTTTTCTGAACTAAGCCCCTTTAAATATGTTTACTAGGTTATGTTTCCTTTTCTGTGAAATGTATCCTCATATCTCTACAGATTTTAAGTATTCTTTCTCAGTACTCGGTGTTGGCTGTGTCTTCTCCCAATCTGGGGTTTGCCTTTTTACTTTTCTCATGGTACTCTTTTCACTAACTAGTTCTTAACTTTGATGTAGTTGAATTTATTAATCTTTCCCTTATGGCTCATGCTTTTTGCTTTGTGCCTAAGAGGTTCTTTCCTGCTCTAAGGTCACACAGATATAAACCTATATTGCCTTGTAAACGTTTTAAAGTTCTTAATCCTCAAAATTACTGTTTTTCTGGGTGGAGTCGACACAGATATAAACCTATATTGCCTTGTAAACGTTTTAAAGTTCTTAATCCTCAAAATTACTGTTTTTCTGGGTGGAGTCGAGTAGGGATCTAATTTCATTTTCTCCCCACATGGATAACTAGTTGTTTGAGCATCATGAAAAGTCCACTGATTTCTGCTGCCACACCTGTGGTATATAAAGTATGCATGTGTGTGAGCCTGTTTCTGGAATCTGTTCTGTTCCATTTTTGTTTATCCTTATACAAATACCACACTGTCTCCACTGCTGTCACTTTATAGTGACTCTTCTTGTCTGATAGGCATGCCCTCCCCACCCCCCTCCCCCCCAGCTTTTAAAAATTCCATTGAATTCCCTGTGGGGGTTACATTTAGAACAGCTTTGAATCTGTAGATATGTTTGAGGAGAATTGGCATCTTTACTGTCATGAACTTTTTTTTTTTTAAGTATTTTAAAATGCTTTTAGCTATAGTTTAACATTTTTTCTTCACAATGGCCTTGTACATTTTTAAAAATTTATTCCTAGGTACTTCATATAATTGTGTTTATATTGTCAAATGGATTTTTTTTAATTAAAATTTTTGTTTGTTGTTTGCATATATACCTGAAATTGACCTTTGGATTTTTTTGTGTTTATTCTTAGACATTTCATTTTATAGAAAATATATCTGGAACCTTTACTGTGATCTCCTGGGTACAAATTATAGCATCAAGTTTATATTAGATTTTTAAAATTCATTCATAGTTATTTATTATTTTGCTAAACTCTATGAAAGATAACCTTTGTTTTCAAAGGAACACTTTGCAGTTTTTAAAGAGGAACAGAGAACAGTATTTCTTATTCTGCAATGGAGATTTTAAATAAAACAAGTATGTCTGTGTTCTACTTCCAGAAATCCTGATTCTATAGGTCTCAAGAGATAGAGACCAGAGTTCTCTATTCTTTTAAAAATCTCTCATGTTATTCTGTACATCCGTGTTTGAAAATCAGTGCTAGAGAAGATGCTAAACATTAAAAACAGTAGCTCATGGGGATGTTTCTTTGCAGGGGCATCTCATTTGATATAATGGGTGTGTGATATATTTAAGTAAAATTCACATTTGTACGTAAACTGAATTGCCTTATGTTAAGTGACAGCAGGTGTGGATTTGAAGAGACTGGGCATTGGGAAAGAACCCAATTGCAGTTTGGATGAGATGTGTTGGTTTGGTACTCAGTATATTTGTATTAAAACTTAGAATGCAATTTTGTCTTTCCCAGTTGGAGTCATTCGTTGTCCAGTTTGCAGCCAAGAGTGTGCAGAGAGACACATCATAGATAATTTTTTTGTGAAAGACACTACTGAGGTTCCCAGCAGTACAGTAGAAAAGTCTAATCAGGTAAGTTCGCTGAATACCTTGGCCTCCTCTGGGTGAGGCAGCCTAAAAAACTGGAGGACTCTAAAATAAAGAGTCAAACATTTGACCTTCATAGCTCTGAAAAGTGCGCAGCTGCTAACTGAAGGTTCACAGTTCAAACCCACCAGCCGCTCCTCAGGAGAAGAATGTGGCGGTCTGCTTCCTTAAAGAGTTACAGACTTGGAAACCCTATGGGGCAGTTCTGGTCTGTCTGTCCTGTCAGGTCACTATGAGTTGGAATTGACTGGATGGCAGTGAGTTCGGTTTGGTTTTATAAAAGGAATAATTATGCAGCTTAATAAGTAAACGGTGCCAATACAGAGACCCCTGACTGCACCCCCACCCCCCGTACCCCCCAGGGATATCCTTTATTCTACATTTCGCAGTTTTTTATACTTTTAGCGTGCGTTAATTGGGTATTTATTTCAAACTCCTTTTCTCATTTTTTTCTATTTTAATGATGAACTTTATAATGATACACATGAAAAACACCATGTCTTTAAGTAGTTATGTTTCTGCATTTTCAAGAATGTCTCCTTTTCTGCATGTTATTACCTTGAAAGTATCATTTAAGAGAGACAGCTTTATACTGTTACACAATCAAGGAGCCCTGGTGACGAAACTGTCAGGTGCTCAACTGCTAACTGAAAAGGTTGGCGGTTTGAACCCACCAGCCACTCCAAAGGAGAAAGATGTGGCAGTCTGCTGCCATAAAAATTATAGCCTTGGAAACCCTGTGAGGTAGTTCTGCTCTGTCTTATAGGTCGCTATGAGTTGGAATCAACAGCACTCAACAACAATAATAATCAATTAATTTTTAGTATGTTTGTGTTTATTTACTCTGCTTCAGCTGCAGAAACTTCATAGGGAAAAGTTACAATCAATTAAACTAGAGATAAAGTCCGGTAGACATCTGAAACGTGGATAAGTGGGTATAGACGATTATATCTGGTGTGGGGATAGAGTGCATGTTGGGGTGTTGTAGGATGAACTGGAGCTAGGAAGCACGAGGCACGAGGTGGTGAGAGCTGAACTAGCCTGGAGGCGATAAGGAAAGGAAGGGCCAGATGACAACCCATGCAGGGTTGATGTGCCTGAATGGATGTGGAGGTAAGAGATGATTGATTTAAATCACCACCACCGGATGGTGGTTGCCTTTCATTGACATAATGAAAGAGGGTGGGACAGTAGGGGGAGGTAATGAATTGGTTTTGACTGTGATTGAATTTCCTTTGCCTAGGAGACTTAAGGAGCCTGATGGTGCAGTGGTTAAGGAGCTCAGGCTGCTAACCAAAAGGTCAGCAGTTCGAATCCACCAGCCACTCCTTGGAAACCCTGTGGAGCAGTTCTACTCCGTCCTATAGGGTTGCTATGAGTCGGGATCTACTCGACAGCAACAAGTTTAGGAGACTTAAGGGGTATATGCCCTCCGGGATCAGACTGAATCTCTGAGAGAGTTCGTGGCTGGAGATCTTTTTTATTTTGTTTTAACTTTTTGTTATGGATAATTTCGAACATTACCAAAAAAATAGTTTAGCCTGACAAATTCCCAGATACCCATCACATAGCTTAGCAGTCCTTAACTCTTACCTATGTCCTGACACTGCCTCTGCCACCCCCACCACCACTGAATTATGTTGAAGTTAATCCCAGAAATTATATCATTCCATCCATAAATATTTCAGTATATGTTTCTATTAAAAAAGGCTTTTCTCTCAAACATAACCACCCTATCAGTTTCATATGGAAGAAGTTAACGGTAATTCCTTAATATTATCGAACATCCAGACAGTAATCAATGTCTCTAATTGAGGCAGTGGTTTTTTTTTTTTTTTTTTTTGTAAAATGATAGTTTGTTTCTGTCAGGATCCAAATAAGGTCTACACAGTGCAATTGGTCAATATATTTCAAACATCTCTTTAAATTAATCTAAAGTTACCCCTTACCCCTCGCTGTCTTTTTCCTTCCATTTAACAATATAGGTTGGGTGAACTGGGTTGTTTGTTTAGTAGAGTTACTCTCATTCTTAATTTTCTCATTTTACGTACTTCCCTCTCCTGTATTTTGTAAACTAGTAATAAAAGCATAGAGTCGTGTTTAGATTCAGGGTACTTTGGGGGAGAGAGTGTGAGAATATTTTCATCATGTGTCCATGTGTGTTTCCATCAGGAGGTACATGATATTATGTCTTTTTTTTTTCCTTATACTGATGACCATTAATGATCACTGCCAAGATCTCTTATTTCATTGTTGTTAGGTGCCATCGAGTCGGCTCTGACTTATAGCAACCCTGTGTACAATAGAACAAAACACTGCCCGGTCCTGCGCCATGCTCACAATCGTTGCTATGCTTCACCCCATTGTTGCAGCCACTATGTCATTCCATCTCATTGAATGTCTTCCTCTTTTTCACTGACCCTCTACTTTACCAAGCATGATGTCCTTCTCCAGGGATGATCCCTCCTGATAACATGTCCTAAGTATGTGAGACGAAGTCTCGCCATTCTTGCCTCTAATAAGCATTCTGGCTGTACTTCTTCCAAGACCGATTTGTTGGTTTTTCTAGCAGCCCATGGTATAGTCAGTATTCTATGCCAAGCTTATTTCATTAGGGCTTTGAAAAATAGTGACGTTCTCGTGCTATCATTCTCTTTACTTCTTAACCTGGAGTAGAGAGAGAAAGCTTCCTTCATCAGTTTTTTTGGCTCCTCTAAGGTATAGTTTATGCAGGAAAGAATTCTTTCCCTTTAGTTACCAGTTTTTAGAGGAGTGAGTTCCTTAGCATCCTTCAGGGGTGACAAATGAGGTCTATTATGAACTCATGGATTTTTGACATAAAGTGTGTTGTGGTTGTTATTCTTATTGGTATTCAGATTGTACCATCCTGAGCAATGGAAGCCTCACGTTGATTCCTGAGTCCTGATCCAACTGCAGTAGTCATTGCTGTCTTTCTTGCTTTCTGTTTTGACAAGATACTGTTCATTTTTTGCTCTAGACCTGGAACCAGCCATTTCTCCAAGAAGCCTTGTTTCCTTTCAGTGGGGAATGGTTTATTTGGAAACCATAATATGGGTGCTGGAGGTGCTCATTGCTGTTGTGTTGGACATTTTTCTGGACCTTCCACGGGAATGATCTAATGAATCCTTTTTGGAACAAAAAGAAGTATAGGGTTTTACTTTTTTTTTTTTTTAATATTTGTATCTCTTCTATGCTGGGAATCGGGGTTCTTAATGACACTGATATATTCACTTTATACTACAGGTATGCCCTATACCCTGTTACATATAATGTTTTAGCTGCTGTCCAATTGGCACCTGACTCATGGTGACCTCTCCCATGCACAATGGGATCGAGCTATATATGCATAAGGTTTTCATTGGCTGATTTTTCGGAGGTAGGTTGCCAGGCCTTCCTTCCTAGTCAGTCTTAGTCTGGAAGCTCTGCTGAAACCTGATAACATCATAGCAACACGTAAGCCTCCACTGACAGACAGGTGGTGGCTGCACATCTGGTGCATTGACCGGGAATTGAACCTGGGTCTCCCACATGGAAGGCAAGAATTCTACCACGGAACTACTAATGCCTCATTTTTTATATATATATGTATATATTTGTTGTTGTTATACATATATCAGTCAAGATTCAATCCAGAAACATTTTAATTCTTAAAATTAAGAATTGTTCCCCTAGACACTTTGCTAACTCAGAATTGAAACCATTCCTGAAGCCCATTTTTCAGACAAAAATTAGGCCTGTAAAATTAAAAATAACACGTGTGAGGAATGTGCTTCCTAGCTCAATCAAATGTATGCGATCAAACAGGCAACTCCTGTCCAACAGCAAAACAAGAAGGCAGGAAGGGACAGGAACTGGACGAATGGACACAGGAAGCTTAGGGTGGAAAAGGGGAGTAAGTTGTCACATTGTGGGGATTGCAACCAATGTCACAAAACAATACGTGTATACATTTTGAATGAGAAATTAATTTGAGCTGTAAACGTTCACCTAAAGCACAACAAAACTAAAGGAAAAAAAAGTATTGTTAACTATCACAGAGGTAGCAACTTAGGAAGCAGCTGAGGGAACAGAGGCAAAAGGCTGGAATTATTAAAACTTAGAAAGTTAGAGCAAGGATCCTACTGGAATGTGGACTCAGACATCTAAGGAGGAGTTATAGCTCAGCACCGGTGTCTCAGGATGTGGGACTCAGAACTTCGAGGCTGGTGGCGATGGTATCTCTGAAGTGGGCTACAGCAAAGCTCAATCTACAAGTATGGGAAAAATGGCAAACTAGGTGTAGCTGCTGCTGTAGGAAGGGACTGCTGCTGCTGGGGTGAAGAAGCACTGATGGAGTGCTGCTCAGAAACCACAAGGGCCTAGGGAGCCTACAGGACGCCAGCAGGAAGGCAGCCTGGAGGGTCAAGTCCCCTCTCCCCAGGCACTGCTGTCTCCCTTGGCACCAGCTATCACTGGACTCTGAAGTGGAACCAGCTGGTGAAACATGACTGTGGTTTGCAAAGTCCTAGTGCCAACTTCACAAAACAGAGGAAACAAGAATAGAGTTGGAGCTAAGGGTAGAAGTTGTTGAGTTGTTTCTGTCAAAAGTGTGGCGATCACTACAGTGTGCACTGGGGATATTCAATCAAATTAGCATGTTTACAGCTACTCAGATAATCCTTTTCTGTATGGTAAAGCCACCCACTTGATAGGCATTCATTAATTTCATTTTGCTTTTGATGTTTAGGGATTTTTTAAAAAGTTTTTTAATTTAAATTTGTATAACTAGATATAAAACATTTATATGGTTCAAAATAAAATCTAAAAAGCGGTGTATTCCGAGAACTCAAATGTCTACCTTTGTCCCATCTAGCTGATTTCTTCCCTACCTTATAGGTAACTATTCAATTTCTTTATGGTTTATCCTTCCATTTTTAGTATTTT